ATCCGTGAAGTCAACATCAATAAATTCTGCAAGATTATTAGTGAATTTGCACTGGAGTATCGTACCACCAGGGAACGAGTTTTGCAACAGAAACAGAAGCGAGCCAACCACAGAGAAAGGAACAAAACCAGAGGGAAAATGATCACAGATGTAAGTTGAAAATAAATCACATGCAGCAGTGTGTGTGTGTGTGTGTGTGTGTGTGTGTATATAAAAAAAAAGTCTGGGGGTTAGCAACTGACAACTCTTCTGCTGTTATTCTGGTATTACCAAAATTAACTGTAGTTAATTGTAACCAGTGTTTGTCAACCAGACTGAAATTATATTTAAAATTCTGATTAAGATAGAATCATTTTTACTGCTGAAGAATTGTTGATGCTGAAGTAACCTCTGAGAAAACCAGCAATGACAAGGAAAATTTCAGTATGAGAAAGAGAGATGTTGGAATGTTAATGTTAGATATGTAAATGTTAGATTTATTTTTTCAAACAGAACAGCCATTAAAAGTGACAAGTGCATTCTGCCTTTCTTTATGTACATGCTCAATTTCTCTTTTCATTTTCTCATTATCTATTTTTCTTTCATTCTTTCCCACTAGTTTCATGTGCCATGTTTTCTCATACCCATGTTCACCTTTACCTTGGTCTCTCATACAGGAAAGCACAATTACCACGTTGTTCTGCTTGCATAAACAAGTTGTTACTTACAAATAATCATTGCCTATATGTTCTATCTGCGTGAAAGGCAGATTATTGATCCATATTCACTTTGTTACAGTATATTAGAGAGGGACATTCTGATTGTGAACTGTGTTGTGGTGCAGCAAGTGGCAGAAATTAGTTACATTTCACAGACTTTGCATTTCTGCTCTATACCAGGTGATCTACCTCATTATAGATAGCTATATGTACTTCAGACTAAGTAGTTGCTAACAATATAGTACTCTTTCTTGCATAGCTGAGATAGTAAGTTTCCATGGGAACTGTTTGCTAGGTGCAGTACTGAATGTGTCCATTTATGCTTCAGCCCCAACAGTTAATGTCTGTCTTCTACTCATAGGTTCCTTTTATCATTTTTGCAATACTGTGGAAGAATGTAAACTTAGAATAACATCATAAAAGGTTCACATACAACCTAGAACTGAAAAACATATATGAATTATCACACAATTCCCTTCATAGAAAACAAAATTACATAAAGTATGGAAAAAGACTAAATACTGTAGTTCAAATACTGATTCATATATTGATTTTTTTTCTTTAAACTTCTCATTATTCCCTTTTTGAGGATTTCATCAAATCCATGCAACCATTACTTTTTCAGTCTTACCCTTCCTCTCCACTCACTCACTCAATCATTCTTCCTTCCTATATTTGTTTTAAAATTCAGTTCTCATTTATTTTGTCTACATGACCAAACCACCTTAGCATACTTCTTTCATAGCAACCACTCAGCTCTCCATTAAATCCACATTGATTGGTTCATTCATTCTTGACCTTATCTGTTCTTGTTTTACCAGCCACATTTATGAAATATTTCATTCCCACTGAATTCAACTTGCATCTTTCCCATGACACACCCATATCACAAAGTGAGCACACATTTATACACAGCCCTTGAAGGTTTGACTCCTCTGATTCTTATTGATAACTTTGTCTCATCTTGATCTAAAACAACGTATTAAAAACCAGAACTGCTTGGATTCTCCTTAATTCAGCTCTGCATGCTCAACATTCAATATAAACACAGTGATTTTCTTTTTTTATATATATAAAGATCTGATTTCAAAAGCAAATGGATCCTATCTAACAAGTCCTATTCAAGACTTGTCCTAAATCTTTATGATCCAAAAATGATTATTAAAAATAAATCTAAATTATTTATGTTATCTAAGAACAAGGAGAACCGAGTGGACTGAATTGTTGTTGTTGTTCGGTCGTTAAGTTGTGTCTGACTCTTCGTGACCCCATGAACCATATCACACCAGGCCTTCCTGTCCTTCACTGCCTCCCAAAGTTGGCTGTTTCATGCTCATTGCTTCAGTGATGCTATCTAACCATCTCATC